AGACATGGATACGGAGTCTGCCAAAGGCTTGAGACGCACATCTGATCAGATGTTGAATTTCTTCATCAATGTACGTGGTCGTGGTCAGGTGGGAGCCGAGATACCGAAATTGGGTAACATTAGAGAGGGTAGTACCGTTAAGCAGGATGGATGGTGGAGGTGTGGCTGAATCAGAGATAGGCTGAAAGAGAATTTGAGTCTTACATGCATTCACCTCAAAGCTGGAGTGTGCATAATCATCTGTGTAGGTATTCAGGATTTCCTGTATGTCGTGTTCAGTATGAGCGACAGGGGTGAGGTCGTCTGCATACTGAACCACAGTAATGGAAACGATCGACACTTCTGTTCCTTCATCCGGAACTGGATGTCCACCCCGCCGGCTAAATTGGCACTGGCACGAGTAGGAAGGCAGCCAAGAAAATGGAAAAAAGAGTTGGTGTCAGAACACATACTTGTTTTACCCCTCTTTGGATAGGGAAGAACTCAGACTGGGTGCCATTGTGCAGGACACTGCCGTTCATGCCATCATGGAGTTGCCTCACAATGGCAATGATTTTTGGTGGGCAGCCAAAACAGCTGAGGGTCCGCCAGAGGGCTTCCCTGTTGACCGAGTCGAGGGCCTTTGTTAGGTCGATGAAGGCCTTTTACACGCCACAACGCTGTTTTCTGCACTTTTCCTGTATCTGGCGGGCAGCAAAGATCATGTCAGTGGTGCCACGTGATGGTCAAAGGCCACATTGAGATTCTGGGAGGAAGTTTTTTGCCTCAGGAAGAAGTCTGTTTAGGAGGACTCGGACAATAATCTTGCCAGCTATGGACAGCAGCGAGATCCCACGGTAGTTGTCACAGTCTGACCGGTCTCCCTTGTTCTTATGAATATTGATGATGGAGGCTGGTAGGCAGAGGTCCTCCTGCTTTATACACCTCGGCTTGGATTCCATCAGGCCCTGAGACTTTGTTATTTTTCATCTGTTTGATGGCAGTAGCTACCTCATCCAGGGATGGAGGATATCTGAGGTGGGTCAGCTCTGCATGCTGAGGGACCTGCTGGGTAGTCAGGACATCCACATCAGTGTTTCGGTTGAGCAGTGAAAGGTAGTGCTCTTTCCAGTGCAAAAGAATACCTTCTTTGTCTTTAATTAGGGCGTTACCGTTGGATGAGCGGAGGGGGGCTGTGCCATGAGTGATTGGCCCATAAAATTCGCGCATCTTGTGTTGATCTGCAAGTTTTTGCATTTCACATGCTTTATTTTTAGACCATTCATTCTTTAGATTGCGAAGTTCCCGCTGTGCCGGCGCTTTCTTCTTGCAGCTTTAATTCGAGACTGAGTTCTGTCAGTCAGTTAAAGCAGCACGTTTATCATCGATGAGTACATTGATTTCCGGGTAATTTTCATCAAACCAGTCCTGGTGTATCCTTTCTATCTGGCTAAGGGTCTCTCTGAAGGTTTTTGTCATGACAGTGTCGAGAATATCCCATTCGGCACTGGGATTTGGATTGTTTGTTATCGGGTTGTTTATAAGCCCATGTTTGAGCTGCTCTCTGAAAGCATGTGCTACCACTGGATCTTCCAGACTCTTCGTGTTAAAACCTCTTCTGGAGGCTTATTGCCTTTGCCGTTTTGGGGCGACGTGAAGTGAGAGCTTGGCCTGAGCCACGCATAGCTCGGGTGATGAGGACATCTCGTCGATCTCTTTCTCTGACAATAATGTAGTCAATGAGCTGCCAGTGTTTGGATCACTGGTGTTGTCACGAACCCTTGAACTTGTCGACCTGCCTAAACATGTTGGGTGAGCAGAATGGCTCCTCGAAAAGGCTGCTCAGTCGCACAGACAGGACCGGAATGCGCTGCTGCCTAGTTCCCAGTGCATGAACGACCATCTTATCGATGCCGCCCATGTGCAGAGTTGTGACTACAGACTCCCGGTAGTCATCTCTGCCTGTCCTCGGCGCCACTCTTCCGTCGCCGTAGGACTTTTAGGGGTATAGGGGTTTTGATGGTGGTGAGAAGTATAATAAGCTGGATGATGGCTGCGCGTGAATTGATTTGTGTGGTGAGGCAGGAGCACAGGCTGCAACCACACATCTTGGCTCTCCCTTTTCCTGATCCAGTAGTGCAAGCAGTTGCAACGACTGGGGAGAGGGAGAGTTGCAATGGACTGCCGATAGTCCAGTTTGTTGGGTTTCGCTTTAGTAGCCCGTCCATCTTGCAATGCCTTCATCCGCCGGTGTAGTCATTGGGTTCCCATGTTGGGCACCTATTCCGCCTATACCGCCGTTGTGGTCTTACTGGAGCTCCGTAAGCATGTCTGCATGTTGCGGGGCTCAACTGCAGATTTTACGTTTTGGGTTTACTCCATATTCTTGTACTTACCAAGGTTAATCTGCAAGACAGCGGGGCCGTGGTTGGTAGACACCAAGAAGTGTCCACATGCCAGTGGGCCTATGCACCGTCCCTCTGGGGCCCACTGCTGCTCCGAGATCCCTTGCTGGTCTAGCCTGGGCTCACTAGGCACCCAGTTACCGTGTGTTGTCACGACGAGGCACAGCAGGTGTCTTGATGGTGAAGAGGCTGTGTACTGGCAGGGGTACGCTACACTACGGCACACTACACTATGGTACACTATACTGAACTACACTATGGTACACAAAACTACACTCCAATACACTACACTATGGTACACTATGCTACACTACACTGCAGTACACTAGACTACACTATGGTACATTACACTGGTGTCAGGAGCAGATCCAGGGGGGCCCTGGGGTCCGGAACTCCCTTTTTATTAGAAAACTCCAATACTTTTTCTTTAATGCAGTATTGTACTCGGGCGTTTTTGTACAGTAAAAAGCAATTACTATTGACCTTATATTATCTCCTAATATCAATTGCACATGGCCTTAAATTCCCTCGAATTCGAGGATGGCCAAGCCTAGGGCCACCTAGGTGTGAATTTGTTTAAGGTATAGAATCTGTCGCCAACATCACACTCTAAGTTAACGAGTTGCATGACCCAGTGTACAGGAACAATCCGAGAAGACCGGACCACTCGCCAACTGCACTGGCTATCCATTAACCCGGAACACGATTCGCAAATCGATTAACATCCAGGTCCTCAATTACTGCTGAGTAGACAGAGGTAAATGGCGAAAAGAAACTTGCCCATAGTTTCAACCTGCCCGGGGATTGAACCTGGGTTTACTCGCTTGCGAGGCGAGCATGGTGACCATTACACTACTACACAACACTGTAATATACTACGCTTCACCACACTATGCTACACCACACTATGGTACACTACACTGTGGTACACTACATTAAAGAATCAACCATCACCACACAGATCACCTCTACAGTAATACCAATGCAGAGTACTCGCTTCTTGGGATGATTTTCACCTCAATATTTCTATGGTGAAGTGTTTTAGTACTGTATATATTGTCTGTTTTCGTGGCAGTGAGAGAGAGAGAGAGAGAGAGGTGTGAGGGGGTCACTGAGAGGCTGAGGATCACTAGGTTGTGGCATTCTTTCCTGTTGGTCTTTAAGTCTTCTCCACCTCCATCCTTTCTCTCACTCAACCAAAACGTTCCTGGAATACGTACACACTTATGAAATACGAACACTCCTGGAACATATATATAGTACATACTCATGGAAGTTGTACACGCTCCTCTAGCATGTACAGTACACACTCATGGAACACGTAGACAAGAAAGGCGAGCAATACAACACTCATTACGTCCTCAGCCCAGGGATGAAGCATTATACATAGTACAGTATATCAAAATTACTATTAATATTTTATGCATTAAATAATTTATTAAGTAGTTCTCTCTTTATTTATCATTTTTGCATTCTGAATGTAAGTGAGCATAAGGTCTCCTATTTGTGGAAAGTGAATATAGTATTACGTTTGGGCCATGGTCGTTTGGTTTGGGCCAAGGTGTTTAGGAGCGTAACTTGATCAATTCAGATCAAATACGAGTATAAGGAAATATTTTTTCACACAGAGGGTGGTAGACTTATGGGACATTCTACCAGCCCAAGCAGTGAAATTAAGGACAGTACAGTACTGGGCTTCAAAATAGCCCTTGACAAAATTTTTAAGAACAATGGAGGGACCTTACACAGGCCACTGGCCTCTTTCCCTCGTCATGCCCACCTCTAGTGGGTGGCCATTAGGTAAATAAGGTAAAACCTAACCGTGGCTCAAACTTCCACTCACCTTGGCCAGCTGTTATGTGGGTGGTTTGCTGTCTTTGGGGGGAGTATGAAAATAACTCACTGAATTCCAGGTTATACCCATATACTGTATGTAATAATATATGTTAACAGTATTCTGTTGTGTTGTAAGCTTAGACCGTGTTCGTTTGGCTAAATTTTCACTTGTTGCCTTTAAACGAAATTGAAGTTTAAACTATGCCTTTCCAATGGTTTTTGATGTGTTATGATCGAATTTGACCTTCATTTCTTGCGCAAATTAATAGTTTCTGAGATAAACCCCTTCCCATCTCGGAATCTAGAGATTTCCTATAAAAATCAGGGTAAAAAGTGTTTAAAGCACATCAATACCCATCGGAAAACAGTTTTGAGCCTAACCTAACCTAACTTAACTGGGGTGCTCCACAGTCGTTCGTTGTCACGAGTTTGCTCGCTACATCATTCATGTTCTGGGTGAGTACCGCCACGTTTGACCGCACATAATAAAATGTTAAATATCTCGCTCATACGTAATTTGCACCAAAAATGCCATTGAAGAAATGTGTCTTAGAATTGTCAAAATTACTGATTACAATTATAAAATTTCTGAGATTTGTTTAGTGGCAAGTGAATTAAACTCATCGTTTGACATAAAATGCATTACTGTGATCATGATGGGCGGTGAGAAGTGGGTTAGCATTCTTTAGCCTTAGATATCAGCATAATACTTCTGCTATTGATTATAGGCTAATCTTCCTTCCTCTAAGCGTGCATTAACATCCTCTCTACTCCATACAGAGCATGAACTTCCCTGCCTCGGTGGTGAGTCAGTTCCCGTCATGCACCAAGTCTGTGACGGTAAGACTGGATGGCACCGTGATACGTCTCAAGCAGGACAGGGAAGTGACTATCAACGGAGTAGAACTTAAGGAACTTCCTGCCTGGGTTAATGGTGCTTTCATCAAGGCTGCTTCAAGTCTCTTCATCATGGGTAATTTAACATTACTTTTCCAGTATTATTGTTAATCAAGTATTACTTTACACATCATATTCACAGGAAGAAACCACTTCAGGGAATTTTCTATAGAAGGAAACTTATTTTGTTACCTTATTCTCATAGATTCTCACAGATGATATTCTGGAAGTGGTTTAATTAGTCTGTCTCCAGTTCCTAAATTTTATGATCACTTTGGGTTTGGCTGCGGCGGTGAAAGGTTGATTTACACTGTCCATCATATCTCCATTCCATAGTGGACATCAACGCTCTGTAAAAATATCTTCCATGTAATTAAATGGAGGTGCCTACACTATCCGCATCGTCAACGTCACGTGACAGTACGTCTCCGTCCTGTCCCATCTCGGTTTCTCTGGAAGAATAGTGTGACGTGACGGAACGCTCTTGGTGGCAGTTGAGAGCGGGAGGAAGGCAGCGACTCTCAACACACTCAGTATATTCAGCGTATTGTTACGACCCTCTTTTTGCCACTTACCAGCTTCCACCACTGATTACTGTCGGCCGGGTTGTGTATACAGAAGCAGTAGATATCTCACAAGTGTCGTCAAATTACCACTGGTTGTTCCGCCACTCTCCGGTAATTTCGCGATGATCGGTATCAGTGTTGTTACAACCTTCACACCCTCTACCAGGACCCACTAGAGGATGTATAGTCAGCCCATAGGCCCATTATATCGGAGGAGACTCTGAAATAACAGCTTCTGTTAACAGAGAAGGTAAATATTAAACACAGACCTTTACCTTATTTCTGGCTAACAACCTCCTGACAGCTGACAGGTGTTTATTTCAACACCACTGTTCCCATTAAAACTGGTTTAATCAAAACACAGCTTTAAAATTACAACAAAATATAATAAATGTGTGCTCTCCGTCCAGGTGCATACAAAAGGCCACAAATCAATTCACTCAGAACAATGTTATCTCCACCAAATACAATGTTCTCTCACTACTACAATACTCTTTAGACTATAATGAACACATCACACTTTAGTTAACACCATAATTATCCATGATTACCCAGATAATAATAGATTAATATGCACCACACAAGCTTGACCCTCCTATCCTCCTCAACCTAGCTACCGAGAGTGCCGCCAAAACCAAAACAATGTTCCAATAGTTTCTTGTTTCATCAACATATAATTTCTAATTATTTTTTTACTTCACACCTAATTACACGTCTCTTGGCCACAAAACAAATCTATCGTCAGCCAACACATCCTCGGGGTCAAGGTAAACAGCCAGGGAGCCAGCGACCTGCACGTCCGTTGCCAGAGTGCGGCCGTTTATTCCTCAATTCTATGACGTCATTTTTCTTCACGTTTTCTTTGGGTATTAATAGACATTAAGGAGTATGAATTTTAGGTATAACTATGGTAATGTCTTGGAAAAATATAAATATGCACATACAAAACCCTACATTCGTATAATATTATAACATAACATGGGAAAATTAAACACTAATTGAACAAAAATTATTAAACGGAAGTTAGTATCTTCTGATTTGGTGTAAAATTTATACATCCACCCTGGAATTTCACAGCCTCAGACAAGGGAGTTTGCAGAGCGTTTCTGGATTTTGTTTTCATTAAATTAAATTTAGAAAATAGTCTCTCTGCATCTGCATTGGATGTTGGAAGAGACAATACCTGCAAAGCAAATGTACAAAGGTCCTTAAATTGGGAAACACCTACACCGTCCTTAAGTTCCCTTAGTTTTGTAAAATCGTCCACTATGTCACTGCTGTCCTTAATCTCGGGTGGTATAGCAATCACATCTAAGTCTCTCCATTGATCATCTAAAATTTGTATACTGTTACTGTATATGCGGGGCACCGCCTTCACAAAGTCGTATAATGATGGCATCTCTTTCCTAGATTTAGTATCAAATACTCTATTTGATGACAAAAATGAACACATCCATGAAAAACTTACTGCCAAACTCAAATCTTTCACATAATTGCACACAAAGGTTTATCATGAAGATACAACATCTGAATTGTACATCCTTGACCATATTAGGGAGTTCTCTACAGGATATTGTTCACTTTGCAGTAGGCCATGTATTGTTGCTCCCAAGTATATTTGGCTTATTGGGAAATGATTTTCTTCATTTCTGGGATCAACTGCATCAAAGTTACCCTTTTAAAAAACTTCATGACTACAAAAATATCCCAAAAGATTCCTGTAAAGCTGACATATACTATCGTGTAACAAATGTATAGTTGGTGACTCTCTCTGAAACAGTAGAATTAACTGGTTACATTTGGGCAATATGAAATTAAGAAATGTGTAGTACAATAAAAGTGAAGAGTCCCTAGGACTCTCTGCTATTTGTTGTACGGCCACCAATCTTTCCTCTGATTTTTTTAAAGTAGAAAACATTTTTTAGGTGCTGCCACTGCTCTAATACTCTTTCAACTGCTTGGTGGAATGATAACCAGCGGGTCTGATTAATTTGCAGAACTTTGTGTGGTTTGACAGTACAGAATGATTGAAATTCCTTAAATTCATGTCGTTTACCACTATGGGAAAAATAGGCATATATAAGTCTTATCTTGTCTTCTCAACGCCGTGGTAGCGTCTTTGCAGCCTCCGAAGCGTATAAGTCAATAGAATGACATACATTTCAATATGGTTATACCAGGAATAGACATACGTAGTCTGCTGCTTACAGAATTGTGTTCCCCCATAATCTTACTTGCGCCATCAGCAGCAAAGCCAATCAGGTTCCCATGTGGAATTCGGTGTGTTTCTAATGTTTTCATAATTAAATTATACAAATTTTTCCCTGTTGACCCTGTAGATGATCCATTACCATATACATTGATCATCTCTAATAAACCAGATTTAATGCTGTTTGTGGTTGAATCCCAAAATCTTACAAGAACAGAGGATGCTTTCATCGTACTAATGTCTGTTGTTTCGTCAACAGTAATGGAAAATTTATTTTCTCTAAGCTTATCTACTAAATCCTCGGTGACACACCGTCCTAATGTCCTCACAACCTCTGTGCATTTTGTTCTTTTCATGTTCATGCCTTGAGCAATTACAGAATCTGGAAACATCCTCTTCGTGAGGTCTACTAAATGATCTGCAGTGGTAAATGGCAAGTTGTGCTCGGCTATAAAGCAAGCAAAAAGAATTGTTGCTACGGCTACTCCATTTGCTACATAGTTCTTATGGTGGACCGGGATCCTCTCCTGCTGGACCTCCTGTTGTTCCGTGGCCTCATAAACTGCAGGCATCTTTGTTGTTTTGTGACGTTTGATGGCTGTCAACTCCGCACTCACTTCCCTCTTGCATATTTTGCAAAAGGCCCTAGATGGATTGTCCTCAACACGGGACAACCAGGGCTGGAAATCTTCATTGTTCAGCCATGCATCTCTGAAGCTCCGCTTCGCAGCCATCACCACCTGCAATAGGAGATTTGATCAACTTTGGTGTAGTTTCCCCTGCAAACCCAAGAATAACTAAATCAGTGAATAATTGCCATGATCGTTCTAAGCTACTTGCATAGTCCTTTATAAGTGCACAGGAAAATAATGTATATTCGGCCCTTTGGATTAATACAAGCAGCAAATGAACAGGGTGTAAAGATTTCATTCATCTAATCATTTCTGTTGATACACTGATAAAAGAAAACGGTTTAGGTATAAGTAATTGCTACATAGGTAGTTACCAGTGATGAAAGCTGTGATTAATTAAATGCCAATTACATAAATAAATATATCCTTACCGGCTTGTAGATAGAGTTCTGTGAGTACGTCCAGCTGATGATACTTGGCTGATGATGAGAGCTCTTACCATATCCACGGACGAGAACAAACAAGAGTCATTTATGACCCACAATCCATTTATACTATACATTATCTGTTGCTATATACTAAATGAATTGATAAAAAGTCATATATATTACTGGAGAAAAAATTATTAAGTCCTTTACATTTTATATGGATTTCTAGAACAATAAGGAATATATTCCTCATAGCGTCACGTCGACGTAGAATGTGGACGGCCTCTCCTCATGACGTCACCAACTGTCATGTTAGCAGACGATATTTCTCAAAACGGTAGCACTCCTCTGCAGGGAAGGTGGTGACGTCATTGCAAATGGCGGCCCTTTTTTCAGGAGAAATAAACTTATATCGACTATTACCTTCTATTACAAATTATATATATACAGTATCACTCTACGAACGTGGCAGAGTGTATTTCTTGTGTATACCCAGAACCGACAACTCGTCCATTGCCGCCGCTCAACAATGAAGGCCTGAGTGCCAATGCGCTTTGTTACTGAGACCCAACATGACACGACCCACTCATCATTCAGAACATTTAAGGTCCATGATGGAACAGAGATGTGATGGTAAATGTGAATCAACCTTAATCGGTTGCACTTTTTACGAGCTTGTGACTTAATTTCTGTTCTTGTGTGCTCTATGTTTATTCAGATTTGTTCAGACTTTTCTACAGACTCTGAGTGTAAGAGATTCATATAAGTGTTCCAATTATCAACTAGTCAACTACATAAAGAGTATTTTCTGGTGTTGAGCCTTTTGTTCTTTTCTAAAAATCATCTTTGAATCCCCTCAAGATATTATTTCCTCATTCAGATGGATCATGCCTTCACAGGCATCTGAATTGTATTTCAAGTTTCAGTATGACTTGATGTTTTTTGGCACTGTACACTCGGTAAAAAAAATTACCGTACGGGTCGTCAATGATTTTCCAACTGAACATTCCCGTTGTCTCGCGAGGGTTGGTAGGCCTGAATGTGAGACATTTAATACTTAATTTGGAAGATCAAAATAAGCTCTTTCATTGACAATATTCAATTACGTTGTTACAATATGACTGGAGAATGTCAGTATATGTAGATAAGTTAAACTGTATGTTATATTAAATGTTCTACACACCGTGGACTACAGTAACCGTGGAAGTGGATGAGTTGCCATATCGGAATGCATTATATGTTTGACAAATTATTTTGTAACCGAATTTAGAATCTGTATTTGTATTGTTACTTCACTTTGGGCTAATGCCACATTATGTCATTCTTTATTCGTATTGGAAAATATACCATGCTGTTCTGAAACGTCTGAATAGCTCCACAGTTTTGCATGCCGTCATAATGGAACCCGGCCCAACGACGTTTTACCATACGGTCGATAATTCCGGAAAGTCTAGTACCTGTACTGGGTTTCATTTCAGAGTGCCGATCATTTGTTTCGAGCACGTGTGGCCGATCCCATACACGCTCAGGGCTACCAATGCCAGGAATGCCCCAGGGGCCTTTTTGAAACACTTCGTTTGTAGTGTCAGTTTTTTTTTTGCGCAGGGATTATAACGGTAGTTTTTTTTTTTCCCTATACAACTTGAACATTTAATACAGGTATAATATTTTCTATTGGTTGACCATATTTAGAATATTAAGCCAAACTCAAACTTGAATTAATTATGACCAACATAGTTGAAGGTAGCATTAGTCACCAGCACTGTGATCTCTGTTGACAAGATCCCTGTGATGTTGGAGAGATAGTGAATGATAAAACTGTTTTCTCAATCTTGCCAGTTTTGGGTGAATGTATTGCGGAATACCCGAGCATACCTTACGCTCTCTGTGAAACTTTTGAAAAGTTGGCGGGACTGGAGAAGACTGATCCTGAGTTTCCTGGTTTATAATGTAATTACAGTGCAGTACACTATACTGAGAAATGTGGTACAGTAGTTTACTGTGAAAGACTGTCCAGTATATCACTTACCACATTAACGACTTTGGGATTCAGTATTTCAAACCATGATATGATTCATGTTCCATATACAGTAGAGAAAGATTCTTGACTCAAATGAATCATGCTACCCAGTCAGACATACCAACTGTTGATATGAAGTTAAGGTAAATCATTGATTATATTTTACCACCTTTAAAAAATCATCAGACAAAGCTGGTAATATAGTTTTGGAGCTCACTGTACATACAGCCACCCTATACACAAAATGTGCCTCCAGGAATACAAGGAGACCGTTACACATGAACCATACTGTGGTCGACAAAGTTAAAAAGAAAACTCAGAAATTCGAGATGCAGGTTAGGACAAATGATGAACTGGACAGGAGGATGTATGCCAGGTCCAGGAACCAAGCAAAGTCAAAGTGTAGAAGGGCTGAAAAACAGTTCTGGAGGCGGATTGCGAATGAGGTCAGGTTAAAACTAAAGGTGTTTTTCCGCAACGTAAAGTCGAAATTAAAAATGCGAGTAGGCGTATTGGACCGGAGGCTTGAAGATGGTAGTTAAGCAGATTTTGACCAGGTTAAGGCAAAGGCGCTGAACAGATTCTTTTCCTCGGTGTTCACAAAAGAGGATGCGAACAATCTTCCTACGTTTAAGGACAAACGGTCTGACACACTGCTGACCCACATTGTGTTCTTAGAAGAGGGTATAAGAAATTAATTTTCAAAGCTAAAGGTTCATAAGAGTCCCGGCCCTGATATGGTGCATCCCAGAGTGCTAGGAGAGTTGTGCAACGAGCTTGCTGAGCCCCTGAAGATCCTATTCGGTAAATGCCTGGATGCCTGGATGCCTGGATGAGCAAAATGTTCCCAGTGATTGGAAAATGGCTTATGTAAGTCCTGTATTCAAGAAAGGCGATCGTCACTCCACTAATAACTATAGACCGGTGAGCCTGTCCAGCATAGTGTGTAAAGAACTAGAGAGGAATATAAGAGATGCCATGATGGAACATCTACTACGAAACAACCTTGTAAAGGATTGCCAACATGATTCTATGCTGGGATGTTCCTGATTAACACAATTACTCAAGGTACTGGATGTTTGTACCCAAATTCTGGAACAAGGTGGCAATATCGACAATATATACCTAGATTTTACCAAGGCTTTCGACAGCGTACTCCATGAAAGGCTGAAAATTAAACTGGCAGGGTACGGGATTCGGGGAAGTGTCCTAGCGTGGATCAGAGACTTTTTGCCTGATCGCAAGCAGTGTGTGGTAATTAATGGTACGAAATCATTATGTGTACCCGTGACAAGCCGGGTAACACAGGGCAGTGTATTGGGCCCATTGTTGCTTGTTTGTTTCATAAATGACATGCCAGAAGCTATGGACTCATCCATACAACTGTTTGTGGATGATGCCAAGTTGTTTAAGGGAATTAGGAACCAAACAGGCTACAAAGAGGTGCAGAAAGATCTCTGTGAGCTTCAAGAGTGGTTGAGGAAATGGCTGTCAAGATTCAATGTCACGGTAAGGAGGCGTATCTCCTGTCCCATCGGGACGAAGCGACTTCATTAATAGAGACCAAATATGAAAAGGACCTGGGTGTGTATGTTGGCAATGAACTGAAGCTCTCAGGCCATTGTGAGAAGAAGGTGAATGAAGGAACTAAACTAGTAGGTCTTATAAGAAAGTCGTTCAAAAGTGAGGTGCTTCCCCGCCTGGAGTACTGTCACCCCTTCTGGTTCCCGAGATATGCCAGGGACTGTCAGATGATTGAAAATGTCCAAAGGAGGGCCACCAGACTGGTGCCTGCACTTCAGCTTCACAGTTATTCAGAGAGAGTAGAGCGCCTGCAACTGCCAAGCTTATACTACAGATGGGCAAGGGGAGACCTAATTGAGGTGTTTAAACATCTCCAAGGGCACTACTCAGTTGAATATCCATACCTGGAGGTGGCAGCCGCCCACCCCACAAGGGGTTGCAGCTCAAGGTTGAAGAAGTCACAAATCCAGAGAACTGTGACGGCAAACTTTTTCGAAGTGAGAATTGCGAACTCTTGGAACAACTTACCAGAGAGTGATATGAAGGCACCGAGTGTGAGCTCTTTCAAGACCAGACTTGGCCAACACTGGAGTAGGTTCAGATACATTCAGGAGCCAATGCATGCCCAGTACTTGCCATCAGTGCATAACAGAGACGTGATCAACCGCCCAAGCGGCTAACGAGCCGATCAGTGGCAAAGAGGATAAAAGTAAAAGGTAATGTAAAAAGGTTACTATAATAAGGGGTGTGATGGCCAAATGCTTAATGTATTCACTTGTCCTAAGAGTAGCTAGTTCAAGCCTGGAGCACCCCTAGTCCATCTAGCTGTGGATACATGCCTAACTTTATTGCCGGTTATGTGAAGGGAGAATTGTGCATTGCCTGCCTTTTTCCCTATACAAATTGTTATTAGATACTCTATCATGCCATTTGGTGGATTGATATGACCAAACATTTCAGTTGAATTGAGCAATGGGATGGACGTGTGGTGGGACGGCCAGACTCGTGTGTACGTAGATGCCCCAGCAGAGTTCCGTGGGGAGACAGCTGGTCTGTGTGGCACCTTCACTGACAACCAGCGGGATGACTTCCTCACACCAGAAGGAGACATAGAACAAAATGTTATTGCTTTTGCAAACAAGTGGAAAACTTCAGAGGTTAGTACCATTACATGTGAGATTTTGCATTAATTGATAATATGGCAACATAAGTATGATTACCTATGGCAGGGGTTCTTGTCCTTTTTTCTGCCATTTACCCCATTGTGTAGGTATGACCAATCATTTATTCCCACCCCATTAATAAGCATACCCATGGCATAAGCGTAATAAGTTATTATTAAAGAAAATAGGGTAGACAATGCAAATTAGGAAAAACACGTAAAAAATACACATTATTTATTACTCCAGAACTTTACAATACTGTATTTAAAAAAAATCAAAGAATGTGAGATCACATCATTACACTTGTCAAACATATTACACAACTAAAAAAAATGGTGTATCAATGAGAACATTGTTGTTGCTTCTCCTCAAACAGTTTGTTTATTCGAAGTCATTACTGACAATGTAATTCGCATGTCCTCATCAGCCCTCAGGCAGTTCCTGGCCTTAGTCTTCATTGCCAGCAGGACTGAGAACCATGTCTGCCCACATAAGTATTTTATACTTGGCATATTTATCCACACCATTGTTTTTTGTTTGTTTTTTGTTTTACTCCTTGGGGTTAAATTTATCCACAGTTAAGAAGCCCTGTCCTATGGCAGTTTTGCCCATGGTCAACTTTTTTCTTTTTTTTTCAAAATGCAGGTACAGTCAGCCAAAGATCCACCGACCCCACCCTGAGTCTCGTACAGGCCATTTTACCTGGCAATACTTGGTAAAGTAAGGCTGTATGTAAAGGTCATTGTGATTGGTGGATCTATTTTCGGCTGTATCACTGTCAGGATAAATATTAAACAATCCAAAGGTAGAATTTTTATTCTAATAAACTATTTATTCTTATTTAAGATCATGATAAGTTTCCAGATGTTCTTATATTTGCTTAATTAATGAAGAAAATTTGATCTGAAAATCTTGAGGCAGTCCTCGTTCCTCGTTGTAGATGAGTTGCCAAATTATTAATATAATTTCTACATTATTTAACCAAATATACGAACTTTTGGAAACTTCTCATGATCTTAAATAAGAATAAATAGTTTATTATTATAAAAATTCTACCTTTGGATTGTTTAATATTTATCCTGACAGTGATACAGCCGAAAATAGATCCACCAATCACAATGACCTTTACATACAGCCTTACTTTACCAAGTATTGCCAGGTAAAATGGCCTGTACGAGACTCAGGGTGGGGTCGGTGGATCTTTGGCTGACTGTACAGTCACCCAAAAAAGTCCTATCACCTCTCATCCTAAACCACGAACCCCGAGATTCAGACTCGTGAACCCGAAGCAGTAGACACTGATACATTAGTCTGTCCATAAATGCTTCGGATTCAAGAGACTGATTCTCGGGGTTCATGGTTCAGGATGAGAGGCGACACGACTTTTTTGGGTGACTGTACATGTACAGTATAGTTTTGTGTAAAAAAAATCCTACCTCAAAAGGGTAAAGGCAGAAATTTGTAGGGTATCCTTGTACTGTATCTATGAAACTGCTACACAGGTTATTAGGTTATTATCTACTTTATTACATACATGTTCAGTACTGTACTTGCCAGGAGTGCCAGAGATGCGTGCGACCATCTAGACTAGAGGGCTAACAGGTCATCAGTGGTGAAGAGAAGAAAGTAAAAGTATAAGTTTTTATTAACAAGGAAGTAAATGAGAAATTGAGAATGTGATTGTCAGTCAGCTGGAAGTGTGTGTGCTAATTGTCTCTTACTTTAACAGAAATGTCCAGACCAGCCTCTTGCTGAGGAGAACCGACCCTGTGACAGACATGTTCAGAACAAGGCTGTAGCGGAGAAGTTCTGTGCCAAGCTCAAATCAAACTTTTTCGCTTGTGAGTATACCTGTGACTTCTCTAGTGCTACTGTTGTTTGCGCTTTAATAATACACAGTACAATGCTATGCTTTCTGAGTTTTCCCATCCTCACCAGGGAGGTTTTCTCAGTGCTAATTATAGAAGCTCGGTAAACAATGGGGCTTTACTAAGCAAGGTGTTTTTGTTTTTTTTCACCAACAGTAATTAGTCTTATTATTATTATGTGCTAATGAAATCTAGTGGTCAACACCATCTCTCGGTTTTGATGCCAACTCTCTTGGTCAGTACCATTTGAGGTTAAAGCTTTTTCTGCTAACATCCTCGTATCCACTATTATGTTTTCTAACAGCTGATTGGCTTAGTAGATGTATAGACATAAGTAATATCTTCGGTCGAAATCAATCAAAATAAATAATATTTTCAGTGAACATCTTGCTTCCACAATTATTACAAACTGAACACATGAAACTCTCACCTGGAAATGCCTAGATCTCTTTATCAGTCATCTTACTCCAGTGACCACAGTACTCCAGTGACCACCTTACTCCAGTGGCCACCTTACTCCAGTGAACACCTAATTCCATGACCACCTTACTCCAGTGACCACCTTACTCCAGTGACCACCTTATTCCATGACCACCTTACTCCATGACCACCTTACTCCAGTGACCACCTTACTCCAGTGACCACCTTACTCCAGTGACCACCTTACTCCAGTGAACACCTAACTCCATGACCACCTTACTCCAGTGACCACCTTACTCCAGTGACCATCTTTACTCCATGACCATCTTACTCCGGTGATACCTTACTCCATGACCATCTTACTCCCAGTGACAGCCACCTTACTCCAGTACGGGCCACCCCTTACTCCAGTGACCACCATCTTGCCTCCGGTGACCACCTTACTCCGCAGCCATCTTACTCCGCGAGCCATCTTACTCCAGTGACCACCTTGCTCCGCGACCATCTTGCTCCAGTGACCACCTTACTCCGGTGACCACCTTGCTCCAGTGACCACCACTCCCGGTGACCACCTTACTCCCTGATGACCACCGCCTCCAGTGACCATCGCCTCCATGACCATCATACTCCGGTGAGCCACGCCTCCATGACCATCTTACTCCGGTATTACCTTGCTCCAGTGACCACCTTACTCCGGTGACCGCTTTGCTCCATGACCACCTTGTTCAGTGACAACCACTCCATGACCATCTTGCTCCAGTGACCACCTTACTCCGCGACCATCTTGCTCGGTGACGCTGCTGCTCCATGACCATCTTCTCCAGTGACCGCCTTACTCCGCAGGCCATCTTGTTCCAGTGACCACCTTGCTCCGCGGCCATCTTGCTCCAGTGACAACCTTACTCCATGACCATCTTACTCCAGTGACCCACTTTACTCCGCGACCATCTTGCTCCATGACCATCTGCTCCAGTGACCACCTTACTCCGGTGACCACCTTGCTCCAGTGACCACCTTACTCCGGTGACAACCTTACTCCGCGACCATCTTACTCCAGTGACCACGCCTCCGTGACCTTTTTTGCTTGCTCCGCAGCCATCTTGCTCAGCCAACAACCTTACTCCGCGACCATCTTACTCCGCGGCCATCTTACTCCACTGACCATCTTACTCAATGACAACCACCTTACTCCGTGACCACCTTACTCCAGTGACCACCTTACTCCAGTGACCACCTTACTCAGTGACCACCTTACTCCATGACCACCTTACTCGGTGACCACCATGCTCCAGTGACGACCTTACTCCATGACCACCTTACTCAGTGACCACCTTACTCGGTAGCCACCTTGCTCGGTGATACCACCTTACTCCATGACCACCTTATTCCGCGACCATCTACTCGGTGACCACCTTACTCCAGTGACCACCTTACTCCGCAATACCTTATTCAGTGACAACCTTACTCCGCGACCACCTTACTCCAGTGACCATCTTACTCCACTGACCATCATACTCCAGTGACCACGCCTCCATGACCATCTTACTCCAGTGACCACCTTACTCCAGTGACCATCTTACTCTGTCATCATACTCAGTGACCTGCCTCGGTGACCATCTTACTCCCGCGAGCCATCATACTCCAGTGACCACCTTCTCCAGTGACCACCTTCTCCGATGACCACCTTACTCCCAGTGACCATCTTACTCCGCGACCATCATACTCCAGTGACCACCTTACTCCAGTAACAACCTTATTCAGTAACAACCTTACTCCAGTGACCACCTTACTCCAGTGACCACCTTATTCCGATGACAACCTTACTCCAGTGACCACCTTACTCCAGTGACCACCTTACTCCAGTGACAACCTTACTCCAGTGACCATCTTACTCCATGACCATCATACTCCAGTGACCACCTTGCTCCAGTGACCACCTTGCTCAGTGACCACCTTACTCCCGAGCCATCTTACTCCATGACCATCATACTCCAGGCCACCTTACTCCAGTGACCACCTTATTCCAGTGACAACCTTGCTCAGTGACACCTTACTCCAGTAGACCACACTTATTCCAGTGACAACCTTACTCCAGTGACCACCTTACTCCAGTGACCACCTTATTCCGGTGACAACCTTACTCCAGTGACCACCTTACTCAGTGACAGCCTCCAGTGACCACCTTACTCCAGTGACCATCTTACTCGGTGACCATCTTACTCCATGACCACCTTACTCCAGTGACCATCTTGCTCCATTGACCCTTGCTCCAGTGATACTGCCTCCATGACCATCTTACTCCAGTGACCATCTTACTCCACTGATACGCATACTCCATGACCATCTTACTCAGTGACCCACCTTACTCCAGTGACCACCACACTCCACTGACCATCTTCTCCGGTGACCCATCTTACTCCAGTGACCACCTTACTCCATGACCATCTTACTCGAGTGACCATCTTACTCCAGTGACCACCTTACTCAGTGACCACCCTCCAGTGACCACTTTGCTCCATGACCACCTTATTCCAGTGACAACCTTACTCCATGACCATCTTACTCCCGACCACCTTACTCAGTGACCACCTTATTTCAGTGACAACCTTACTCCATGACCATCTTATTCCAGTGACCACCTGCTGCCAGTGACCACCTTATTCAGTGACCACTTTACTCCATGACCACCACCTTATTCCAGTGACCACTTTACTCCAGTGACCACCTTATTCCAGTGACCACTTTGCTCCTGACCACCTTATTCCAGTGACCACCTTACTCCAGTGACCACCTTATTCAGTGACCACTTTGCTCCGCGACCATCTTCCTCCAGTGACCACCTGCTCCGAAGTGACCACCTTACTCCAGTGACCACTTTGCTCCGCAGCCACCTTATTCCGAGTGACAACCTTACTCCGCGAGCCACCTTACTCCGCAGCCATCATACTCCGGTGACCACCTTACTCCAGTGACAACCTTATTCAGTGACGAAAGCCTTACTCCAGTGACCACCTTACTCCAGTGACCACCTTATTCAGTGACAACCTTGCCAGTGACCACCTTATCCCGGTGACCACCTTACTCGAGTGACAACCTTATCAGTGACCATCTGCTCCATGACCATCATGCTCCGGTGACCACCTTGCTCCGGTGACCACCTTGCTCAGTGACCTGCCTCCAGTGACCATCTTACTCATGACCATCATGCTCCAGTGACCACCTCCAGTGACCACCTTATTCAGTGACAACCTTGCTCCAGTGACCACCTTACTCCAGTGACCACCTTATTCAGTGACAACCTCCAGTGACCACCTTACTCCAGTGACCACCTTATTCAGTAAACAACCTTACTCAGTGACCACCTTACTCGGTGACAACCTTACTCCAGTGACCACCACCTTACTCAGTGACCATCTTACTCCCTGTTGACCATCTTGCTCCTGACCACCTTACTCCAGTGACCATCTTTACTCCCAGTGACCACCTTACTCCAGTGACCACCTTACTCCGCGACCATCTTACTCCAGTGACCATCTTACTCCACTGACCACCTTACTCCCATGACCATCTTATGACCACCTTACTCCAGTGACCACCTTGCTCCATGAATATACTCGGTGACCATCCTCCAGTGACCACCTTGCTCATGACCATCTTGCTCCGGCAGTGACCATCTTACTCCGGTGACCACCTTGCTCGGTGACCATATCCCGTGCTTTACTCCGCGATACCTTATTCACGGTGACAACCTTACTCCGCATGACCATCTTACTCCAGTGACCACCTTACTCCAGTACCTGTTCCGGTGACAACCTTACTCCATGACCATCTTGTTCCGGTGACCACCTTGCTCCAGTGACCACCTTGTTCAGTAGCCACTTTACTCCATGACCCTGTATTCCAGTGACCACTTTGCTCGGTGACCACCTTGTTCCAGTGACCACTTGCTCCGCGGTACCTTGTTCAGTGACCACCTTACTCCAGTGACCACCTTGTTCCAGTGACCACTTTACTCCATGACCATCTTACTCCAGTGACCACCTTGCTCCAGTGACCACCTTACTCCAGTGACCACTTTACTCCGCGTACCTTATTCCGGTAGCAACCTTGCTCGCAGCCCACGCCTCCATGACCATCTTACTCCCGGTGACCACCTGTTCCCAGTGACAACCTTACTCCATGACCACCTTACTCCGCGACCATCTTGCTCCGACCATCTTACTCCCGACCATTTACTCCATGACCACCTTGTTCAGTGACAACCGCCTCCGCGACCACCTTACTCCATGACCTTCATGCTCCAGGCCACCTTGTTACAGTGACAACCTTACTCCGCGAGCCACCTTGCTCCATGACCATCTGCTCCGCACAATATCTTACTCCAGTGACCATCTTCTGGTACCACTCCCATGATACTCCTCCTGAAGCCATCTTACTCCACTTGACCATCTTACTCCAGTGACATGCCTCGTGACCACCTTACTCCAGTGACCACCTTGCTCCGCGACCATCTTCTCCGACCATCACTCAGTGACCACCTTGCTCAGTGACCTGTCTTCTCCATGACAATCCTTCTCCAGTGACCACCTTATTCCGTGACCACCACTCCGGTAACAACCTTTACTCCAGTGACCACCTTACTCAGTGACCATCTTACTCCATGACAATGCTTCTCCAGTGAGCCGCTTACTCCCGAAGTGACCACACCACTCCAGTGACCATCTTACTTTCCATGACCATCGCCTCCCATTGACCGCCTTACTCCAGTGACCACATATTCCGGTGACAACCTTGCTCACTTATGACCATCTCTTGCTCCAGTAGGTGACCACCTTACTCCAGTGACCACCTTATTCCTGAGTGACCACCTTACTCCAATGAGTGACCACCCACTAGTGACCACCTTACACCAGTGAGTGACCGTCTTACACCATTGACCACCTTACACCAGTGAGTGACCATCTTACACCATTGACCACCTTACACCAGTGACCACCTTACACCAGTGACCACCTTACACCAGTGACCACGTTACACCAGTGACTGCTGTAACTTGCGTGTAATGCACTGTACTGTATAACCTGATGATATGGTTTGTTCACAAATGATATCTAGAAATTTAATTATTTTATTAATCATATTCAGTACAGTACAGTACAGTACAGTACAGTACAGTAAGCAGTACAGTACAGTACAGTACAGTAAAGCACAGTACAGTACAGTACAGTACAGTACAGCACAGTGAAGCAGTACAGTACAGTACATTGCAGTACAATACAGTACAGTACAGTAAAGCACAGTCCAGTACAGTACAGTACAGTACAGTGCAATGCAGTATAGTACAGTACAGCACACATGTACAGTACAGTACACTACAGTACAGTAAAGCACAGCACAGTACAGTACAGTATTATACAGTACAGTACAGTACAGTACAGTACAGCACAGTACAGTACAGCACAGCACAGTACAGTGCAGTATAGCACAGTACAACACTGTACAGTACAGTACATCACAATACAGTACAGTACAGTACAGTACAGCACTGTACAGTACAGTAAAGCACAGTACAGTACAGTACAGTATAGAACAGTACAGCACAGTACAGTAATTTACAGTACAGTACAGCAGCACAGTATAGGGTAGCACAGTACAGTACAGCAGCACAGTATAGGGCAGCACAGTACAGTACAGCACAGTACAGTACAGCACAACAAAGCACAGTACAGTACAGCATACAGTACAGTTCAGCATAGTACAGTACAGTACAGCTAGCATAGCAGCAGCACAGTACAGTACAGCACAGCAAAGCACAGTACAGTAAATTACAGTACAGCACAGTACAGTACAGTACAGCACACAGCACAGTACAGTACAGAACCATACAGCAACAGTACAGTACAGTACAGCAAAGCATAGTACAGTACAGCAAAGCACAGTACAGTAAATTACAGTACAGTACAGCACAGTACAGTACATAGCACACAAATACAGTACAGCACAGTACAGCACTGTACAGTACAGTAAAGCACAGTACAGTACAGCATAGAACAATACAGCACAGTACAGAATCATACAGTACAGCAGCACACTATAGGGCAGCACAGTACAGCAAAGCACAGTACAGTACAGCACAGCAATGCACAGGCATAGTAATTACAGTACAGCAGTACACACAGTACAGCAAAGCACAGTACAGTACAGCACAGCAATGCACAGTACAGTAAATAGGTACAGTACAGTACAGTGTAGCAGTGCAGCACAGTACAGTACAGTACAGTATAGTACAGTACAGCACAGTACAGTACAGCAGGTTCAGTACAGTACAGTACATAGTACTGTACAGCACAGTACAGTACAGTACAGCACAGTACAGTACAGCACAGCAATGCAGTAGTACAGTAATTACAGTACAGTACAGTACAGTGCAGCATACAGTATAGTACAGTATAGTACAGTACAGCACAGTACAGTACAGTACAGTACAGTACCGTACAGCACAGTACAGTACAGTACAGGCAAAGCACAGTCAGTACAGCACAGCAAAGCACAGTACAGTAAATTACAGTACAGCACAGTACAGTACAGTACAGTGCAGCACAGTACAGCACAGCACAGTACAGTACAGTCACAGCACAGGCAAGTACAGTACAGCACAGTACAGTACAGTATAGTATACACAGTATAGCACAGCACAGTACAGTACAGTACAGCACAGTACAGTGCAGTACAGTACAGTCACAGTACAGTATATACAGTACAGTACAGTACAGTACAGTACAGTACAGTACAGTACAGTACAGTCCAGCACAGAGATGGAATAATATAACATTGAGAGGTATTCTTTTTATCTTGTGTGGCAGAGGATTAGCGAGGTCCAACCTGTAGTGTAAATAATAATATATGTATTGTGTTTGGATAGCATGTCATCTGGAGGTGGACCCTGACCCCTACTACCGGGACTGCTTGTATGATATGTGTTCCTGCGAGACCAAGATGGATGGCTGCTTGTGCCCTGTGCTGGCTGCCTACAGCAAGGAGTGTGCCAGGAAGGGCGTTATCATTGACTGGCGTGCTCATGTCCGCGAGTGTGGTATGTCACCAATAATAATTTTTCAGTTCCAAGTTTTGAGGTACTGTATACTGTAAATCCTTTTTAAACAACATAGCATAACAAGGGCAGATCCAGGGGTCCTGAGGGTCCGGACCGCCCCTTTTCATCAGAAAAATCCAATACTTTTTCTTTGATGCAGTATTGTGCTCAGGCATTTTTGTATAGTAAAAAAGTAATTAGTATTGACCTCACAATATAGCCTAATAACAAGTGCACATGGCTTCAAAATGGCCTTAAAATGCCCATGACATTGGACAGATTTAAAAAAGTTTCGTGGCTCGCTGTGCTCGCTATGTTCCCCCAAAATACTTTTTGGACTCCCTCTTTGATGTTCCTGGATCCCCCGCAGAAAACACTGAAATGCTCTCATATTTTAAGAGTTTTTCAAAGAGATGATAAAAGGTAAATTTTAAAACAATATGTTTCTGGCAACATAATGACATTTCCATACTCTACATCACTAATAATTACAGGTGTTCATTGTACTGGTGGCCAGAAGTACCAAGTGTGTGGCAATAGCTGTGCCCACACTTGTCTAGACTTTGCCACCAATCCTGACTGTGCCAGAAAGTGTGTGGAAGGCTGCAACTGCTTGGAAGGCTTCTCTCTGGATGCGGATGGCATCTGTGTGCCCATCACAGAGTGTCCGTGTGTGTATGATGCCAAGGAATTTAAACCTGGCTATGAGATGATGCAGCAGCAGCAGGATGGTTCCTATCTTGTCTGGTCAGTCTTGTCTCATAATTACTACATCGTACTATATAGTATCTGCATTACAGATACATTTCATACTTGTAATGGTCTTGTACATGCAATATACAGTACTGTATTGAGTATGTTCTTGTATTCTTCTTGAAAATAGAATCAAACTATTTTATATTGTTCTCTTTAAGTATTTTTATAGTTGTCATGGATGTATAATAATGAAATACTTTCAGTGAGTGTTACAATGCTGGCTGGAACTGTTGGGAGCCACGAGAAAATGAGACTCTGTCCAGACCTCAGCAAGTTGCCTGTTCTCAGGAGGGGAATGAAGTCTACACTGACTGTCTACCAGAAGAAGAGAACACCTGTCAGGTATGTAAAAATATAAGAAAAATGGGATGCCTGATTTAGAGTACTATTTAGTTCCCTGTGCTTTTCAGTAGTGAATAAACAGACAAGGTTGCAGGTAGTTGTATGTGTGATGGAAAGTTTCCACTCCAGGATTAGGGAAGCAAAAAGATACCATTGATGGTGATGGTGTAACCATGAATTGTTTATTGATTAAAGAATGAGGAATGGGATATACAAGGTACTGCTTATGCTGAAGCAGTTTATTTATAATTTGTAGATTATTCTACCTCTCTCATACACAAATGATCAATTTACTGTGTGTCTCAGATATTTGTGACTCTTTAAGTTGTAAGGGGTGGGCAGAATTTGTTTTATTTACATACTCTGTTTGTATTATCTTCTCATCTTATTAATATATCTGTGTAAGAGGAGGTATCTTTCTTTATATACAGTATACTGTACTCGTATCTATCTATATTTTTTTATTCTTTTTTTCATTAAATTATTTAATTTTCTCTATGTTTTTCTAAGTCTTTATTTCAGTATGCTTATTACTTTATTTTCTACATTTTACTTTTCTTACTTATTGTTTCTTTCTTTCAGTGTCATTATTTATTTATATACAGTATTTCAATATTCTTTATCTTTCTTTTCTATATCTTAAATATTTGCTTCAATGTCATTATTGTTTCTTATTTTTCCTCTTATTCTTCCATTATTGATTAGGGCTTAGTTATATTCTATACAATGGATTAACCTGGTAAAACCATATCATTGTTTAACAACATCTATTAGTATAATAATATACCCTCACAAGGGTAGACTGCCACCACCCAGGCTTTTATTAGAATATAACGTGTATAATTAAAGTGTTAGATAGCGTGGTAGACAAGAGCTTAGGCACGTGAGTTACAGTATTTATTTTCTGAGAAGCAATTGTTAGAAGGAAATAAGCGGTGCAGACGGAACATCACAAAAAGCTCCTGCAGGACTTGAAGCAGAAGAGGGAGGAGTCAAGGAGGAATGGGGAAGGGTGTACATGGGTTATATTCAGGGGAAGGGTAGTGGAAGCAAGGATGCCGACACAGAGCCAGGGGGCAGCAGTGCACCCTCCACCTGCCTTACCCCTCACCAGGGAGGTGGCGCCAGATCCGCCTACCAGCCGGGAGGAGGCAAGCGCCGTGTAAACACTGATATTTCTAACCACACCCTGCAAAATACAGTGTACTACAGCAACTGCTGCAGCTTCTGAGAATTGATTGATACGTTTATTGAGATACAAAAAACATTAATACATCTCAAAGGGATGAAGTGACATAAGTCATCCCCACCCCAGTGGGCTTCTGAGACGTTACCGAGAACAAATTCTGGCTTGAATGTCATGTACGCTAATACTGATACGTTCCTTGATAAGAGAGAGGAGTTTGAAACACTACTGAAGATACACCAACCAGATATTGTAGGAGTTGTAGAACTGTTGTACAAGAACAGGAGAATCGACCCAGAGGAATGTGAGTTCAATATTGCTGGATATGACTCATTTACGAACTTTTCTCAAGAAACCTGCAAGAGGGGTGTGGTTATCTAAGCTAGGCAAGACCTTAGAACCTGCCAGGCGAGGTACAGGGAGAGGATGTTTTGAAGAGTCCATGGTGTAAAATTAAATTAAAGGGAGGGGACTTACTTATTGTCGGATGTATCTACAGATCCCCAAACTGTGGCCCACTAAATCAAAAGAACTTAAGAGCCTTAATAGACAACGCAGCGATGCTCAACCCTAGCCACTTCCTTATCATGGGGGACTTTAACTATGGCGACATCGACTGGAGAAACGAGTTCACCCCAATTGACTTGAATAACTCTGCTACTCTTTTTGAAGAAACTCTGAGAGATAATTTTCTGTTTCAACATGTTAGAGACCCGACACATTATAGAGGGGAGCAAACACCCAAGCCACTAGACCTCGTCATAACAAACGAGGAGGGTATGGTGGCCAAACTGGAACTTCTTGCCCCAGTTGGCACCAGTCACCATGTAATGTTGTCATTCAGATTCAACTGTTACCATGTTCAAGATAAAGCCAGGCCAAGGTGCATATATTACAAGAGAAGTTACAACGGGATGAGGGAGGAGATGAGGGATATCCACTGGCCTGACTCATGAAGGCACAAAAACGCAGACACTACGCTGAAAATCATAACTACTAAAGTGACCCATTTGATTGATAAATATATACCCAAGACCAAACCCAGTGACTCTAGGAAAACAAAGGGACCCCAGCAGAAATACAGACAAGGGCCTCCTGATATTTTGCTGCTAGATCTTGGGGATAAGAAGACTGACATATTCTTTTCTGGAGATTAGTTACTTTCTAAAATATACATCTGACATTAATTTCAATATAAATATTAGATTCTGATGATTGGGAATCAAAATGATCTACCTTCAGTATCAGTTGGAAACTTAAGCATCCCCCCAAGGGCGATATTATGACCATGTCACTCTTACTGGCAGACTCGACTCTACTTATTGAAAATTTTTACAAACAGTAAATGCAGTTGAAGCTTTCAACATCTCTCACAAGGGATCTTGAATGTTTCATCTGTATTCAGACATATCTAATTTGACGCAGAACAATTTCAAATCTCTGAACACGATCTCGCCGTTTGAGGTATAAAGAAATACCAGAGTCTCGGAGGTACATGATTGAGAGAAAACGGAGGCCTCAGGCTTCCTGAAGCGATAAGAAAATGGACGCCTCAACTGGGGGACTCAGTAAAGAAGTTACAGCTACATGTCTTATGGGCTATTGAGCGTAATATGAGCGTGGTCAGTACAAAGTATTATTCTAAATCCCTCACATCACTTACAGGATAAGAAATGTGACAGAAATATCTATCACTCTAGCCCCTCCACCCCAGGCTCGGGTGCCGCTGGCAGTACTCCAGGGGGATAAATCGAGAAAAATTTACTTTTTCCAAATAATTTTTAACCTTTTAAATGATAAAACAATCAAAACGAAGTAAGAAAAACTATATATTGACCCTCTAGAAACTTCCCTGGGCCCGCAGTGGCGAGGGAGATAAGGGGACAGTGTTGTTTTGCCGGCGAGCTGTGGTCACTTACGCACTTAGCGGCCATTTTCTGCTGGTCTTTGTGTCTGGGGTGGCCAGTAATGCATATATTTAGTGATCATAATACTTATTTCCTATAAATAATTCATTTAAAATTTATTATAAATGCATTATTTTTCATAAAAAGCGCTAGGCAATACACGCAGTCTGTAGCCAGGCTGTCTGGCTGTTTTTGTGTTTGGGAGAGCAATTAATGCATATAAATAATTATTGGAATAATAATTCCACAAATAAATACATTTATATGATAATCATTGTATTATTTTTTAGTAATACTATACTACAATACAACGACACTCCATCAGTCCTCACTTAACGTTGTCCCAGACAACGTTGTTTCATTATAACGTCACTACTTTTTGGATATCCATGATTCCGACAATGTTGTTTTACGACCCGACCGATTCGTTATCACGTTGTCACCCAACACGGACTACTTTGTATAGACCCGCCACCTCTCATCTTGGCATGCTACCCTCTCTCATCTTGGCCATACCCCGCGGAGCGTCACAGATTCCCCAAGCATTTTCTCCCCAGACTTTGTTAAGCTTCCACAGCATACTTGTGAGCTTAAGCGTTTTTGCTATAAGTACTGTCTGTACTGTAACCATTCGAAACGGCTCCCAAATGCTTATCAAGTGTTAGTGATGCTAATGAGGAGGAGCAAACAGCAGCCAAGGGGGAACCCCAGTCAGAGTGGGAAGGGGAGCCCCCTACGGGTCTCAATGACTCGCCACCTCCCTCCTCTCCACTACCCACCACACACTCGCTCCACCTCTGCCCATCAGTGAGTAAAATACACAATTATTGTATTATCCTATTAATTAAACATTAATTTAGTTTATGAATCTTTTTGGATGTATGATATACATTTTCTATGAAAATTCCATTGAATTTATGTATATGTAATGTTGATAAAATCACACGGGAAAATGGAAACAACGGAGCACCTTAGCTTTCGTCTTTATTCAAGACATCTTCAGAGGCAACTGGATTACATGGACAGAGCGAGGCTTAAATATACAGGGTGACCTTAAAAACATGAGGTCAGGTCATAATGATGTCATCCACTAATCCCCACACCAACACACACGTAGAGGAGCTTAAGAGAAGGGGGTGACGTGACTAGCCAGGTCAGGTCAGAAATAAGGGACCCACAAAAAACTATCATACATCTAGATCAAAGGTTTTCAAAGCATTTTTAACCTTGGGCCACTGACAAATAAATTTATGTAACATATTATCAGTTTTGAACTGACCATCACTAAGGTTTATTGATTTTAATTCCTTAATCAAACTAGCTTCAACCAGAAGTCTTTGACACAAGATGATTTTACTTCTAAGCTTTTTTCCCAAGCAATGTGTATTTTAAAAGGGCTAAAAATCCTTTCATTCCTCTCAAACCAGACAAGTTCCTACACTTAAGAATATTTTGACTCTGCCCTATCGTAATGAATTTGTCCCGTTAGTTCGGTCCCTCAAGCTTCTAAATATTAATGTTGTTTTCAAGTATGACTCAACCATTACCAATATGTTAATAAGGAATAGCCCAAGTTTGAATGTAAATGGAAGTGTTTATTGTATTCCATGTAGCAAATGTAATTGTAATTATGTAGGACAGACAGGGAAAAACACTGCAGCTCAGAATCAAACAACATAAGTATAATATCAGAACTGCATCTGAAAGCAGTGCCTTGTTCGTTCATGTTAGGAATAATAATCACCCCATTGCTTGGGAAAAAAAGCTTAGAAGTATTCAAATCATCTTGTATATTTAAGCCTCGCTCTGTCCATGTAATCCAGTTGCCTCTGAAGATGTCTTGAATAAAGACGAAAGCTAAGGTGCTCCGTTGTTTCCATTTTCCCGTGTGATTTTATCAAGATTTA